GGATGGGAAGGCATGCATTGGCAGTGAACAGGTGGTGGGCATTTCAGATGCAGTGAATTTCATGAAAGAGCATAAAGGCATGTGAAGGATGATGAGAAACCTATCCTAAATGGAACAAAGGCTAGTCAGTGATGAATAGTAGTGATGAATAGAGGACAATGTAGTGAGACACAGTTACAGAGAGCATCATCTCCTGAACAGAGGACTCAGGCTGGATAGACTCATAGCACATGCTGTTGGTGCCCAGCTGAGATCTCCTAGAACCCTTCTAGTGTTTGGTATACCCATCCCCCAGGTGCTGCTTTTACACTGATGCTAACAGTTCACACAGCAACTTTGTTTGGAAGCAAGAGAAGTGACCTCCTAGCCCTCTTCCCTATTCACTCGAATGACACACTTCTAGGCCAGCCAATAAATGCAAATGCAGGGGAGAGAGTATAGAAAACCAGTTATCTTGCCTCAAGGCAAGACAGACTCTATGGAACAATTTTTTCCCCAAATTTCCTGACGGATCAAGTGAGGCTAGACATCAACTGAAGCTCATTTGTGCTCACCTCAGTTTCTTCTGCTTCCAAATTGGGTTTCCCTAACTCCCTTGCAAGGAACATTTGAAAGATTCCCTTGATGTTCACTTGCACCTTGGGCTCTGCTTCTAGGGAAACTGGACTAAGTCAAGTCTGTATAGGGGAATACTACATATTCAATGAAGAAAACTTTATGACTTTGTGTTTACAAAGGAAAGAGTTACAGTGAGAAAGTACTCTTGTAGGTCATTCTGTTTGGAAGGAGAATTCAGAGGAGTTTGGTTGGTGAGAGGTGGGATAAAGAAAATGGCCAGAAGCCGGGTGGCTCACATCTATAAGCCCAGCAGAGGCAGAGGCATGAGGATTGCCTGAGCCCAGGGGTGTGGGACCAGTCTGGGCAAACTGGCAAGACCTTGTCTCTACAATAAATCAAAAAAATTAGCTGGAAAAATTAATTTTCTGGGTGTGGTGGCATGCGCCTGTGGTTTCAGCTATTGGAAGGCAGAGGGGGAAGGATTCCCTGAGTCCAGCAGGTCGAGGCTGCGATGGTCGTGAGTGTGCTACTGCACTCCAGCCTGGGCAACAGAGTGAGACTCCTAATGAAAGAAAGAGAGAGAGAGAGAGAGAGAGAGAAAGTGGCCAGAAGAATAGATGTGTTGGTTCATGACTATAATCCCAGAATTTTGGGAGGCCAAGGTGGGCGGACAGCTTGAGTCCAGGAGTTCGAAACCAGCCTGGGCAACATAGTGAAATGTCATGTCTACAAAGATTAAAAAAATAAAATCAAAAAAGCTGAGTATGGTGTTGCGCGCCTGTAGACCCAGCTACTAGGGAGGCTGAGGTGGAAGGAGTACTTGAGCCCAAGATGTCCAGCCTGAGTAACAGTGAGAACCCGACTCAAAAAAAAAGTCACCAGAGGCCAAATAAGAATGCTATTCAAATTCAGAAATAAGAGGAATAAAACATGTTTGCTTTGCTATAAGAAAGAGAGAAAACTTGAGAGAGAATGGCCCCGGTATAGGGAAGAATAAAAAATAACTCTTCAAAGTTGTATTTTTTCCTTTAAAGGCAAAAGTATTTCTGCAGTAGCACTGTCAATGTTATACCATGAATTTTATAAAGGCATACATTATCAATACAGACTGACATCAGCTAACACAAGTAGTGCTCAAAAACATTAAAAAATCACAATGAGCCAGGTTTGGTGGCTCAGCCTGTAATCCAGCACCTTTGGAAGGCTGAGGTGAGTGGATTGCCTGAGCCGGCGGGTTCGAGACCCGCCTGGGCAGCGAGACCTCATCTCTACAATAAATCTAAAAATCAGCCGGGCATGGTAGCATGAGCCTGTAATTCCGGCTACTAGGAAGGCTGAGGCGGAAGGATCGCCGGAGCCCAGCAGGTCAAGGCTGCGGTGGCCGGGAGTGGCCACTGCACTCCAATCTGGGCGACTGAGTGAGACTCCAACTCAAAAAAAAAAAAAATCACAATGAATAACAATGAATCAGATTCCAAAATGCTCACTCATATTTTGGGTCCCTGAATATCTAGACTGAAAAATAAGAAGATAAGATTAAGTAATACTCCCAAATGTTTACAACATGTTGGTTTCTTGAGTTTTTTAAAAAAATTTAAGTAGCCTAAAATAATCTTTATTAGACTGGGCAGGGTGGCTCACGCCTACAATCCCAGCACTTTGGGAGGCAGAGGTGAGAGGATTGCCTGAGCCCACAGGTTCGAGACCAGCCTGGGCAGCTTGGTGAGACCGCTTCTCTACAATAAATCAAAAAAATTCACCGGGTGTGGTGGCGTGCACCTGCAGTTCCAGCTACTTGGAAGGCTGGAAGAGGAAGGATCACCTGAGCCCAGCAGATCAAGGCTGCAGTGGCAGTAAGCCTGGGCAATAGAGACTCCGGCTCAAAAAAAAAAAAAAAAATCTTTATTAGAATCAGTAGCAGATTACTTAAATTGGAAATGCATCCAAACAGAGTAACATCTGGTTTTCATCTATTCTTATGGGGCCCAGAAGTGTTTTCAATAGAAAAAAAAGATACTGGGTCCTGGGTCATAAAATAAGCAGCATAGTGTGAAAAAAAAGGGGGCTGGTATGAAAGAAATGATACACAGCCTGTGGCAAGAACTCTACTCGTACATAAACTTTCCCTTTTACAATGTGAGAAACCGCCCCATATCATCTGTATTTATTTTATTTTATTGATATCTCAGACAAATTAGGCTTCTTGGCCTCTTGTTTCCCTTTCAAAATTCATACTTGGTAGAATACCTACAAATAAAAAGGACTATTTTCATTAGATTAGTAACAACTTTTGTGTTACGTGTCTCAATATAGAGAACACTATTGAAACAGAATTTTTTTTTTAGTAATAGATTACTGTTCTCATTGACCACTTTACTATGCACTAAAATGCACAGCTAATTGCTATCAAAATTTGAAATACATATAATCACTGTATTTTAAGTCCCACTGAAAAGAATTTCTCCCACAAAAAATAAAAGAAGACCCCCAAAGGGAAACTGGCTAGAAAGTCATGATACATCAAGGTTGATCTATAAGTCTAAGTTAGTTTAAAAAAAAAAAAAGTCTAACTCAGTTTTAAGACCAAACTGATACCCAGACAAGTAAATATAATCTACCCTATATAAATCTTTCAAATAGAAACCTTAGAATAGTAGTAGCAAAGAACAGAGAAGCATTGCCAAAGTGTTTTTCACAAAACATTAGTCCCAGGAGAAGTTCCATGAAAAAGTTCCAGTCAAGTATGTTTAGAAGGTACCACATGTTTTATTCTCCTCTTAAAGATTCGTAATATGCATGTTAATACATGGATGACTATAAGATTTGGGGGGGGCGGTTTTCCAAATCTGATAGACTACACAACACTTTTTATAATCATTAAAAATAAGACTTGTTTAAAACACTCTGTATCTACCTGGTCAAGAATCAAGTTACCGTCCTTTATTATTACTATTTTATAATTCATAGAGATGGGGGAGGTCTCACTATCTTGCCCAGGCTGGTCTCAAACCTGAACTCAAGCAATCCAACCCTCTTACCTCAGCCTCCCAAAATGTTGGATTATAGGCATGAGCCCCTGCTCGGTTAAGCTACCCTTCTTTATAAAGCTAAAAGTTCAGAGCTATCATTCCATCACTCTCTCTCCATTCCCTCTCTTTCCTTCAGCCTAAGATACTGCAGTAATTCTAACTTTATAATTCATAATAATTACAGAGAACTTAACCAAATATAATTATTGATCCTAACTTCCAGAAATTCAGATTCAGTACAGCAATCAGTATTTTTTAACAAGCACTTCAGAGTGATTTCAATACAGGCCAAATGTTGAGATGCTCAAAATACCTGATACATTTTATAATCAATGTGATGATTATTTTATAATTGAAGCCAGAGTGACTTTATAAACAATAAATTCAAAAAGTCCAGTCTTCAAGTTGGTATGTTAAAAATTATTTTTCTATTCAGAAAAAAAAGGGAAAAAGAAAAACTAAAGAATGCCAAATCACACTCTAAAAGATACTCACAAATATAATGCTCACAATTTTTTTTTTTTTTTGAGTTGGAGTCTTACTCTGTCGCCCAGACCGGAGTGCAGTGGTCACTCTCAACCACCGCAGCCTCGACCTGCTGGGCTCCGGGGATCCTTCCACCTCAGCCTTCCAAGTAGCTGGAACTACAGGCGCGCACTACTACGCCTGGCTAATTTTTTGATTTATTGTAGAGATGAGGTCTCGCCAAGTTGCCCAGGCGGGTCTCAAACCCGCGGGCTCAGGCAAT